GAACTGCAGATTTGGTGTATTACAGCATTCTTTTTTATTGTTTCATATATTATTCAAATGCTCAGAAGGAGTGAACTGCCTTTAACAATGTCTCCCTGTGATAGTGATGCCACACAGACAGAATTATGCTCCAGATAAACATTGTATAAATGAGCATATGGCATTATTGTCTGAATAGCATTGTTTATTTGCCCACTCAGATTTATGATTTGTTGTCATGGAGTAACCTGGATGTTATGTTAACTTGGCCATTTGTTGCTTGAACAGTACTTTTGACCTGTCTTTCCATTTTCTCATAACACTGGGACAACATAGACTTTTCATCCAAAGGTTTCCAGGTATAAACGCATGTTTAATGAATAATTTATACAGATATTAATCAATACGTTATTCAAAATAATTTGTTTTCTAAAACAAGAATTTGTCTACAAGTTGAATGACATAAATTAACTTGTTTCCAGCTTCTCTGTCCATTATAATTGTCCTGTATCAGGACAACCTAGAGCTTCCCAAGCTGTAACACGCATAAGAATAACTTCAACACCTTTTTTATTACCTTCCCCAAGGAGGTTATGTTTTCATCCGTGTCTGTTTCTTTGTTTTCTTTGTTTGTCAGCAGGATTTTGCAAAAAGTGCTGAACCGATTTGCACCCAATTTGGTAAACAGATGGAGTATGGGCCAAGGAAGAACCCATTCAATTTTGGTGCTGATCCAGTCCAAGGGGTGGATCCAGGAATTTGTTTTTTTTATCACTTTTCTTAAAATTGTGTGGTTTTGGAGATTTTTGGACATTTTTTTTCAGTTTCTCTGTAAATAATGTTAAAAAATCAGACATATATGGTGTTGAGATCTATGTGTTTGTACAGTTTGGTGCAGATCCAGGTAAGAATCCGTATCTGACAGACATGTAGGATTGTTTGGCCTTGGTGGAGGTATCCGCTCTGCTGAGTGCCATTCTGGTGATGCAAGTTACAGTGCCATAGACTGCTTTACTGAAATGAACAGAAAAAGTTAAGACTCATCATAAGCATCAGCATTAGTATTTAGAAAACTCTTGAGGCCAATTATCAAATGCTAACTTTAAGACTTAGCTAACTTAAAACGTAGCTATAACTCACTTTAAAGTTAGGCATAAAAATTAAGAATTTGCTATAAAACCTTTCAATATAAGCCAAGACATTTATTATTATTTATGGCTAACTTTAGCTACCTCTATATTCATTGAGTTAACTATTATAGCTAACTATCATTTGTTCGTATTTGTGAATTTTCCAATCTGGTCCAGGGAGTGAGGCGGAGGGAATTCCTGTTTCTGTTTACGCTTGTTGTGGTGAAATATGATTTGACTGCAGATAATGTGTACCTGTGACGTTAGCATCTGATCTGATCAAACCCTATTGCTCAACAAAGCTGAATACAGTTGCTGTGCTGCTGCTGGTGGTCTGCTGGTGGTCTTATCCTAAGTCAAATCCTAGCTGGCTCTAAGGGAACACTGACAGTTTAATATAAGCTCTGTGCTTTGAGCAGAGGGATAGCATGGTTTTACATGGAAAGATAGGATGTTTTATTTTTAAATTTGTTATTAATTCATAGGCTGTAAAAACAACCTTTTTGTCAATTTCATAATGTCATATTGGAAAGGAAATCCTCACACATGGAAGCCAAGAACTAGGTGTTGCGTCTCTGCCAGCGTCAAACTGAATAAATGCTTATGAATATGCCCACACCACCAGAGGGGATGGACTAAATCGTAATTCTCATTCTGCGGCTTGGAAAAACTTCCGCCTTCCCCGGTGCCAAGCGGCTCTGAGGCGATCCCAGTGATGAGCCAGGGAACGCTCTGCTAACTGAGCTCTGGAGAAATACGGTCACGGCAAGATCCATATTCAAATAAACTTCACTCTTGGCCCGTGCACACAAGCCATGTTGTCACCAGCTGGCAGTGCCTCTCACCGCCTCTTCAAATACTGAGCCACTTTTGATTAACGTCTCTACGGCTAATCATGTGCATTAGCTGTGCCAAATTGGACGAGCCACGTATGGCCTCCATTTGCCTTGAAATCTCTCTTTTTTTTTTTTTTTTTTTTTTTTAACTCATTCGAAGCATTTGAGAGCTTCCCTTTACACCACCCACCCCTCCCCTAAGTCTTCTCTTGTCTAGTGCCCATACATAGAACAGAGAGGGTGGTGTGGCGGCACCGTGCCATCCTGTGGGTCGCTGAATGAGAGGACTATCGCTGCCAGATGCACCCAGCTGCATAAATGTTATTCATTTTTTATGGCTTGTGTACATAATATGGCCAGTGTGGGAGATTGTGAGGTTCCACTAAAGGCTGGAAAAATCCTCAAAATTGAATCAAAGTGGAAAACTTATTTTGGCTGGTGGCTCTTCTGGACCTCCTCCTTTTCCATCTCCCTTAATTCTCTCCTACTCCTCCCTGTCTCACGTCGTGCTCTCTGAGGTTCCTCTGTGAGTGATTTACAGTATATTCTTTCTCCTAGGCTGCATTGGCTGGTCTCCTCGCTCAGCCATAGTGGTGGTGGTGTGAGACAGCCAGAATATTTGTCATAGATCCAGAGGTGCAAAGACATTAGACAGCACTTTGTCACCAGTGGCTGGAATTCACACCATTTGGCTGTTTCCAAGTCAGCTCCTTAACCGCTGACTGGCCTGGTTTGTGTCAGCTGCCGCTCTGTTGACATTGAAGGCTAAAAAAAGATGGCAACATGGAAGGATCTATGCTGTTAGCCTTTTTAGGTGGTCAAAACAACACGCAGTCTAAGAAGAGCGCTGTGACCGGGATCCACCGCCAAAGCCCTTGACTTGGAGCTCTCTCCCCCAGTTCACAGTTCAGATATAGTTTAGAGGTTTAGAATGGCTCTCGTCAGGGTTTGCTGCTCCCCGCAGAGAGATGGGCTTGAGCTCCGAGCAGAGCCACGGTCTCCCAAATCACCAGGCCCAGCGGAGGCCCCAGCAATCCAAATGTGATAGTGGCGGGGGCCTCCCGTCTCATTACCAATCTCCATTTCAAAACAGCCTTCAAATGGGAACTAATGCATTAGCTCTCGCTGGGGTAAAAGTCTAGGGAGCCACTACATAGCGGCTCAAAAACGCTTTCATACATGTTTTATCAGCGGGGGGAGAGCAAGCAAGAGAGAAAAGGAGCTTGGACTGAACCATTCATTTGTTGCCCATCTTATTAGCTTGGCACTGTGTTATTAGCGGCCATTGTGCTCAATAAAAGCCCCTTAGGTTTGTTCCACTGTTCGCTGAATCTGGGGTGAGCTCTGTGCCAGGCGCTTTTTGGAGGTATTTGAGAGCATGAAAATTCAATCCCAAACCCTCAGCATTGAGTTTTCTCACAGATAAATGAAGAGGATTAGTGGAACAATAAAACAATGTCTTACCTCAGATACCACCATATCCTATTAATTGGGATTATAGTGGAGAAATGTGTAAAAAAAAAAAAAATAAATAAACCCCACAATCTTGTATCACAGTCGCTTCTTTGTGACAAGCTGATACATAAAGCCCTGTCATAGTAACAACGTTTCGTCAAATAGGAAACGTGTTCCAAATAATGAAGAAGTAAATATAGAAAAATCATAAACAATGCCAGCAAAAGAGAAAAAAAAAGCCTGAACATGTGAAGAATAGCTGTGGAAAAGCTGACAATATTGCAGACGCTATAATAACCCACCTAGGGTTGGATATGCTAGGCAATGTGTCAATTGATTCCCATCTGATGATGGACTGTGTGTTGAAATAAATTGACCTTGCCAGACGATGAGTGAAATTGATGGAGCTTTTCATCTCCGGAGGGCCGTTCCACACTCAGCCGTAAAATGGATAGAGCACAGGACAGAGTGATTGAGTCGGGGGGGAAATGTAAGGTGAGGATTTTTCTTCTACCAAAGCTTGCTTGGTAAATAATAGTTACAGGAAAAATCACTATGTAGTAACTATAGAGGTTAAGTACCTGTTGCTGACTAGATGATTAGGACTAAAAGCACACAGCGCTAAAGTGAAGCTGGCCACTGACAGATGCTACCCGTTGGAGGAATATGTGGCTCAATTACCGGGGGCCTAAATTGAAAGTGATAGTGATTTAAGTCTTCCCAATCCCCAGCCCTATTCTGGCAAGCAGTCTTTTCAAGGAGCCCTTTTAAAAAAAACCCCGCTGGAGTGTGTGAGACACAGGAGCGCCATTGATTTTCAGTAACATCCCCTAATGACCTGGCCACGGTTTGATCCACGCTGTTATTATGGGCTGATACCATGGGACAGGATTGGTGGGTCTCACGGCACACAGCAGCGAGATGAGTAGTCAGGGCATTATCAGGATGAATTGGCGGCAAGCACAGCCGAGGTCTTGTCAATAGCAGGACAGGGCGCCTCAGGGCTCCCTCCGCGGCCCACACCAGAGCGCCTTCCGGCCTCATTAGAAAAGCAGATGAGTAGTGTGCATGAGGAGAGGAGGCGTATGAGAGGGGAGAGGAGCCTCTCCTCCACCATCTGATAGCCTGCCTCCCAGGCATTGCTCCTCTTAATGAGTCCAGACCACGGGTCAATATGCCACTGGGCTGCCAGTCAATACCGGTTACCTGCAACACAAACACTCAAAACCTGCTTTCATACAAAATCAATGTCCTATTAGTCCCTCCCTGTATTGCCTTGGCCCAGTCTCATCGATCCCCTCTGAAGAGCTCTGCAGCCCATGTATGACAGATTATGGCCAAATGATCTGATGGCTTAGGCTACTCTGCCAGCCAAGTCTGTTGCCTTTATGATTTCAAAGTAATAGCTTGATATCAGATGAGCAAATACTCTAAATGCTGAAAACTGAGGCACAAGGGTTATTGGCAAACCTATCAAGCTAACATCAACATTCCTCTCAGCAGGTTTGGCTTACAGACAAATTCAGTCCTGGTGTCAGCACGGACAGCGAGCACCAGGATTAAAGACAGGCTTGCAAATGTATGACATTAGGTCCAAACTTTATTCCGTACATTTTAAACCATGAATGTTCATTTTCATTTTTTTGCAGGCCTAAAACTCTACTTGTTTTGTATACAAGAGTCTAAGAAAAACAACTGCACAACACCACAAGGTTGACAGAGAAAGTCCTTTTGCCACCCACTAAAAAGTGTCCTTCTTTTCTGTCTGGGGCTGGTCCAGTTTGTGACTTGGAAGTCTTTCAATAATTCATCATTATTTCATTGGTAAATATAAACATGTGTTAATCCAAGTTTCTCTCAGTATCACCAGTATCGTCTGCTCCCTCCAGGTGATCTCTTCATTAGGGTGATGTGTGCTGCTTTGCATAGATTGCAGATGATCCTTGGAGGCCCTCTTACAACACCCTCCTGTCACACTTCCCATCCATTGGCCAGGCTTGTCTGTTACCATGATATTTAACAGGGAAGTGATTCCCCATGTTTCATTTAATTTTGTTTTTCTAGAAATGGTTAAAAAGCCTAATAAATTTACATGGTAATTTTGCAGCGAAGGAATATCAACAAGTTATTTACATCAGTTTTCTTTACAGAGACTGAACAAAGACCTCATAATATATATTTATCTGCATATCTCAAAGGCAAAACAAATGAACAAAACAAATCGGTAATGTAACAATTGTACATTGTCATCATTGAGGATATCCTGGTACCATGAGGTTAAATTACTGAAGGTTGAAACCAAAATCCAGTCTTTACAGTGGGTCATAATGGATATGTCTCACAATCAACTGGGATAAATATTGTAAAAGGTGTGACTAATGCACAAAATACATAAAATTCATAGAAATGATATCTATACATGGAACAAGGATAGGAAATGTACAAACTCATTTCAGGACCTCTCTTTTTGCACAAAGCTGAAAAAAGGTATTGGATTAATATATTAATAATTATCAAATATTTAAGTCGGATATAAACATACACATATTTGTGTTCTTTTTACCGACATTATTCAACCTCCAGTCCACTAAAAGTAAAGTCATGGCATGTGCTTAATCAGCCTTACACACCTGTACTTTGTACAATCATACCCTTTCCCTTAGGGAGTTTTGCTCTTCTCTGGTGAAGAGCAGTGCATTTTGTTCACAAGAGGATTTCAGATTGGGGGGGGGGGGGCTTGTGAGTGCGTCTCGTGAGACTTGGTGCACTTTTTTCAGAAGCTACCGAGCCTCTACCTCTTTTGGGTTGCGAGATGGTGAGTAGTCCCGTGGGTCCTGTGTGGTGGTGAGGGGGGTAGTCCTCCTGGGTGAGGCTGGCCTGGCACTGCCGGCTGGCACAAGGGGTGGGGGTGCACTGAGTGCTGCAGTAGGGGGTGTTCTGTTCAGAGGGCCGTTGTGTCCTGTGGAGGGGCTGAGTCTAGGGTACGGCATGCCGCCGAGGTGGGGCATAAAGGGGGGCATGTGGGGTAGATGGCCCTCCATGGGGGACTGGTGTAGCTGATGGAGGCGTGCTCTGTCCAGCTCCTCTCGCAGGTGGAGGCGCTCTCGCTCCTCTGCCTGTTGTCTCATCCTCTCGTGCTCCCTGCGCACCTCCAACAGGTGCTCGTGGTGAGAGTAGTCATGAGCCTCCCTCTCGCGGTAAGCTCGCTCCTGTTCGTACACACTGGGGAAACGATGTCCTTGCTCGGCCCTGAGCTGGAAGTCCATGCGCCGCTGCAGGTCCAGGCTGCGGTAGGCCTCTCTAAGTGGGTCCCAAGGGAAGGCCGGGTGAGGCAAGCGCTCTCTTCCTGCCAGAGGGCTCACTCCCATGAAGGGAGCCATACGAGCCCGGTCCAGCACATTGAGGCTGCCCATCTGGGGCATGGCACTCATGGAGAGGGGCAGAGAGTGTGCCATGGGGACACCATGCAGGCCAGGTCCTGGGATGTCACTGCCACGCGGTGAGGGAAGAGGGGGCTGCTGAGACAAAGGTGGGTGGTGATGGTGCGGGTTTCCAGGTTGACCGATGGGAGCAGGAAGAGCTTGGGCTGGTGGCTGGGGGGCGGGCTCTGAACTCACCACCATGACCTCCTGCTCCTCCTTCCTCTCCTCCTTAATCTTCATGTCATTTTTCACCTTGTGGAGGAGGTCTGCAGGTGGGGGCTCTTTCCTTTCGCTGTCCTTGAGTGTAGGCGGGGGCCCACCTGCCATCTTCATGCCCTGCTCATTGATCACTGCCTTGGAGTACGGAGAGGGAGAACGCTGAGTGGGTTTGATGGAGTCTTCTGAGGGTCTCCTCTCTAGCATCTCCTTGCCAGGCGAGCGGCTCTCCTTCACCTTCACGTCAGCCAGTGTGGAAGACTCTCTGTGGCGCTCCAGCAGCTCCTTCTCTGCCTCACGAACCCGGTCTACGCTGCCACTGTGATGCCGACCCGAATCACTGGAGTTCTGGCTGTTTGAGCGAATTAAGCTACTGATCTGATAGCTGACTGGTGCGGAGGCTGGAGATGAACGGTTGGAGTGTCGGTTGCGATCCACAGAATCCCTGTAATGACAAAGAAAAAAGAAAAAAAAAGTTTAGTTAGAACCAGTTAAAACAAGCATTGTGTAGGTGGGTTGTATTACATTTCTGAGTTTTAATTCTCTCAGAAAAAACACAAGTTACCAGGCTTTTCCTCCGATAATGTTTACTGCCTTTAAATCTGAGATCCTTCCAATTAATGTTTGACAGAGCTGCTTGTTGCCTGTTTGATTTGTGTGTTTCCTTATTGGATCCATGATTTCAGTTTATTTCAGTTTCCAAGGATACGAATGTTTAACAGTACATCTTGATGATATATATGATATATATATATATATATATATATATATATATATATATATACACACACACACACATATATGTGATGTTAGCTGGAGGATAGATCATTATTGTGGCCATGTTGGTTAAGTTGTGATCATGTATTTGGGCACTTGTGTGGATTGTTTTGTTATGCGTATGCATTGTGTGTACTGCATATACACTGTATAATACTTTGAAACAATAGGTGGTGAAAAAGGTAAAATCTCAAATGCCAAGATGTGCAAATCTTTTTAGTAATTGTCTTAAGAAATATTGTTTTTCACTGATTATTTTTCAGTATCATAAATTGAAAGCTAATATCCTCTAAATAATACTCTACAGGTGGATAAAAAAGACCACAAACTCACCTGTCTTTATCCTTCTCTTCCTTCCCGATGGACGAGTCTCTTTTCTCTCTTTCCCTCTCCCTTTCTCTCTCTCTTTCCCGTTCCCTCTCTCGCTCTCTCTCGTGGCTGTTGGCTGAGCTGCTTCTCTCAGCGTCTGTGGTTTTGGGCCACTGTGGCGGGGTGGGGAAAGACGGTGGAGTGCGTCGAAGTCTGTTCCAGGTGTCGTGGTGGGGGCTGCCAAACGTGGGCAGTCCTCCTGGCCCCTCCTTGGTGCCAAACACACTGTTGGACCCTGGAGGGAAGAGGGAGACAGGCGTGGGACCCACTGTAAGTTAATTGGGCACAAAACCTTCTTGAGGACACATAAGATGAGAAAGACTCAACAACAAAAGCTGCTTTTGTCTTTGTCTCTGGAGGCTCTCTCACTGAAGCTGTTTGAAAGAGTTAGAGGTTAATGGCTCCCCCCACCAGTGGAAAAAAATACTCATTTGCTTTTGGACTAAAGGGCCCCCCCCCCTCCCTTTTTGCACCGGATGAACAGGGGAGACTCACTTGCCCTCTGGAGTTGAGGGCTGTGAAAAGCCAAGGGAGACCTTAGCATTCCACGGCATGTCTATTCCAATCACATCCATTTTCACAACAGGATTTGGCACACAAAAATAGGAGGGATGAAGAGAAAGAGAGAAAGCATAGAGAGAAGGATGCAGGGGGGAAAGAGAAAGCCCTCCATGGCGGTGCAGAAGGGGCTTGTCAAATAATTAATAGATGAATTGCCACCAAACAGCAGACCTGAGAGTGCCTGTTGGCAGCAGCGCAGCCAGATTAAAGCCAGGCTGTTGGGGCCATGCTTGGTGGATGAAGTGGAGGCAGGGAGGAGGTTTGCTGTGGTGTGTTGTACTGCCTTGTTGGGCCTCGCTGGGCTAGGGCTGCTTTGACACAGAAACTAGAGCTAAGTGTCTTAATTTTTTTTTTCCTCCCCTCCTGGCTCTCCCTGTGGTCTAACTATGTCCTGCTCTGTTCTGTCACTGGCCACAGGGGCCAGATTGAAGGGGGGAGCGGTGGAGGAGGAGAGGGGGCCAGCGCTTACCAAGCGAGGGGTTGCCTAATCCTCCGAAGGCACTGCTTGAAAGGTTGCCGAGGCCGCCAAAGGAACTGGAGCGACTGAAAGGATCTGCAAAATGCCAAACAGGGATTAGCAAAAGGGGGGGTGCTGGCTAGCAGTGCTCACCCCAACACCAACCCGTTCCACTCGGCTTTTCTCTTACAAGCGAGCTGTGGTTTTTTTAGCGCTGCCACCTTAGCTCTCTGCCTGGTAATCCTGCAGTAGCCAGGTCGCCTGGATGCTGGATTCACTGCCACTAACTGGAGTGGAGTGTCACTGACCCTGCTGGGCCTAGCGGAACGACACTGCTTGATGGGGAAATTAGTTTTGCGTTGTTGGAGCTGAGCTGAAAATGGACTGTGGTAGGGCAGGGGAATTAGAAGCTGTAAAAATTTGTCTAGATGGACCATAATGCTCAAACTGGAGAACCAGGGTCTGATGGGCTCAACTGATGCAAACTCTAGCCTCCAAATTTGCAGTAATAACACAAATATTTACCCTGAGAAGTCAGTGAACAGCATTCATCAACTGATAATTTGCAGTCCCATATTAATTCAGCAAAAATCCATCAGGAAATGAAGAAGTTATCAACAGATTAGGGTTTAAGGATTTTCAGCTCTGGGCCTTGTTAATATATCAGAAAAGACAACAATTGAGAAATCTCCTCTGCCTCATAGATGAATTCCCTGGACAAGAAAATTTTGTTCGCTAAGTCTTCCTCCTCTGTGGACTGTGTGTATTCACAAGCACAAAATGGATTGACTCAAGGGCTTATTCCATGAAATCAACTTGCCACTCTGAATCCAAACAGTGTCTCAAATAGAAGGGTGGAAAATACACGAATGAATAAAAATAATTACATGCACAAATAAATCCAGCACCATGAACTATCCTACTCCTACTGTGAATTACAAAATCAACTTTGCAAGCTTATAGAAAATAGTGTCATATATGCTGCTGCGCTGCATTTAGTTTCTCCAAACAAACGAGGGATGACAAATAGGGCTGAAGAGTGAACACTAGGCTAGCTACGTCTTTTTAATAACCCCAGACAGAGTTATTTAAGGCGATGTTATGAATCATACTGTCCAATTACATTATGGCTACACTCTCCTACGAGTTTGCTCATGAAGTGCCGCAGCAGACTGACTACGCTGGCCAACTGGATTCCACATTAACCTTCAAACGAATCTGAGATCAAAACTAGAAATATCTCGGCTTCAAATTACACCCTGGTGGCTTGTAATGTGTTTAAAACATGAGTGCAAAAAAGAGAGAGTGGGTGAGAGAGAGACGGAGCGAAAGAGGAGATAAATGTATAAAAAAATTTGAACGTGGGGTTACTTACACTTACCTGCCAAATGGCTAGGAGGCAGGAAGCCACTGGGGTGTGGGGCAGGGCCGTAAGGGGAGGGAGCTGGGTGGCTGGAGCCTATCAGAGGCAAGGAGGATAGAGGATTGTTATTACAATACAATCAGACAGTCATAAACTCTAACTGGCATGCAGAGAGAAACTGAAATTATTTCCCACCCACAACAATCACACTTCTGACCCCCGTGATTAGCCAGGACAAAAAATGTAAATGTGAGTAAATATGAACAAGTGTTTTTTTCCTGCAGCAGCATAACAAACTTGTTGAATACGCCGTACATGGAAGCTGGAGGAGGTTAGAGACGGCTGAGTAATGCCATTGAGGAAATTAGCAACTGATAGTTTGGTTTTATTGCAGCTGTTTGTGTGCAAGTCTATAACTGCTTATTGAGGTCAGTTCCAGAGTGTGCAACAAGCTGGCCTCCCTCACAAAACACTGTTACCATCACCCATATTCCATGAATGGTTAATGAAAGAACCAATTACAGGAGTGCCTCTGACACACCACTGCATAATTACCAGTCAAAGGCCATTCGCCTCTCTGTTGCCCTCCAACGCAGGGCAAATCAGTCAATTACCTAACCGAGAGTCATCCATATTCATAGACGTATCTGACTCCCTTTACTGGCAAAACATTTGCTACAAAAGCACTATAATTAAGTGAACATTACATGAGAGGAGAGAAAAAAATGATACCATTTCTTTACAATGGTAGAGGAACAATTTTGACATGCAGCTATAAATGCTTATTTGCATAAAGACAAAACATGCCATTGAAAGGCTTTGAGAACAGGATAATTTGAGCGTTTTGAATGATTTGACATGGAAGGTGCACTGAGAGACCCCACTGACCTGTGGAAGAGAAAAGAGGTCGTGCCAGGTCATGAGGGTACGGGAACCCTGGGAAGACTCCTGGAGCTGGGGGTCGACTGAACAGGTCCAGCTTCCCATTCATGTCTAGTTTGTGAGGATCCAGCTGCATTTGCTATAGTCAAGAGAGGCAGAGACAAGCAGAGGGAGACAGACAAAGAAAATTAGGTCGGTAGGCAACAGTACTAAACATTTCTAACAACAGAGTGAGAGGGATTTATCCTCAGCTACACACTGGGTGAGAGATCAGAGGAATACAGATACATCAACAATGGCTCTGTGTCTCCAATTCTGGCCGACTGTGTTATAACAAATATATGTAAGCTGATTAGGGACACTAAATCCTTGGTTACGGGGGTTCAGAGCCCAAGAAGGACTGACACCACTAGGCCAGTGGCCTTAGCAGAGGATCTCCATGGCGAGGCCACACCATCCTCAGTCAGTGAGAGGAGTAGTTCCACATAAGAATTTTTTTGTCTGTGCTCACGTGTTGCATTTTGGTCAACACAACCATCACTTCAACTACTAATTCTGTCACTGCTGTGCTGTTAATGGGAAGGGTTCTAATCTGCCCGAGCCATGCACAGAGCCTTGACTTAGCTTTAGGGAACACTTAACAAGAGGAGACACCATTTTTGTTGGATTTTGAATCATTATTACCTTTAACAGCTTTCTCTTCCTTTTTTGTCTTTTCCCACCCACATGGTCTTTCTGAACCCAGTAACACGATTATAGATTATTTCACTGGTAAAGATCCAACTATGACATGATCAGACCTACTGTGTATTCAGTAAGTTTGTTATTTGGGTCATTATTCCATTACCAATATACTGTATCTGGTTTACATGACAGCAAGACTCCTGCAAGACATCATTATCCATCTCACGCACCTTCATTTTCTGCTGGTGGTGGTAGATCTGCCATGCGATCTGGACATGCACTGCACACCACTTGCCAGGTTTCTAAAAATTTAGAGAGAAACTGAGGTTAGCCTGCTGGCTTTAATATGGGGAACTAAATATGGATTCTGGCATTGTGATTTTCTGGCCAAACTACAAAGTGGGAACTCGTCAGAATTTTCAACCAGGCAACGGATTAAGAAAATCTAACCCTGACTTTAACCCAATAGAGACCTCAAAGCAAACCGTAAATGCAGCCAAAAGCCTGCAGGAATTGTTGAAGAATTTGCAGTTTTAGACTTTGTGGCCTGGCCAGAGAGATGACACATTTAACAAGAGATGGACAAGGCAACCACTTACCCTGACAGATGTCCTGAATGGATCTGTTATCTGTATGGACAAACAGACGAGCATTATCATCAACAACAAAGATATGTGGCCAAAATGTGCAGGCACTTTGGATGAATGTCTGCATGGACAGGCATGAGGAGAAATGTTTTGTCTCACAAAGATGTTAATGCAGAGACATGCATTCACATCTCTCTGAGACGCATACTGTATGTACACGCGTGGCTTTCACCAGGAGGGACAGAGCAAGAGGAGACTGGTTGGGATGCTGTCAGCCTGACGCTTACCCGTGGGTCCTTCTGTAGGAGTGTGTGAGGTACTGCTCCAGGACGTGCTGCTACGTCAATGGGATTAGAAGCCTGACAGAGAGAGAGAGACAAAGGGAAAGAGAGACATGGTAACCAAACAGCTCTGCAGTAGTTAAAGCATTTATAGAATATAAAAAAAAGAAATGAATTAAAAGAAATAAGCCAAACCTGTTGCATAACTACTTTATGCAGGAGGTAAATTCATTCTTAATTCAATAATTCTCAAATGGTGTCTGTGGCATCCTCATAAGTGTCCTCAGTAGAGGACTTTTCATTTTGGATTTTTTTCTGTCTATACAACAGAAGTACTATGAGACTAAATCTTCTGTCCATGTCCTGGCTGGATGTGTGTGGCATGGAAGCATGTCAGAACCTGATCTAAAACCACTCAAAGATCCTCCGGCTACAGATGCCATCATCACCTTATATCCTCCCTCAGTAGCACTATAGCTCTCTAATCCTCAACTACAGCTGCTATATGGCTGATGTCATAGATAAAAGTGCAATGATGCTGCAGGTGCTGAGCCACGCCAGTGTAGCACATCTCCTCTTTAAGTCGCTGAGGCACAAGTGCTGAGATCAGCCTTATTAATCCACCCAATACCAGGGACAGGAAGATCCTGCAGGGTGACCTGCGTCACCAGCCCCCACAAACAAACACACATCCCAAGCCCTGCCTCCCCAAGCTCCTCTCCAAGAATACTTAGCAGGGGTTTTAGACGCATAAGACTGTTCCTTGAACCATCTGGAGGGGCCTTTGACAAAAGGGCCCCTCCATGACAGAGTCTGCTGGGAATAGAGCCAGCGGATTTAGGGCAGCTTTGATTAGGGGCTTACACCAGGTCACAGCCGCTGGGCATCTGCCAGACAGACTCACACCCTCACACCCCTTCCCATCCCTCACATCCCTGCCGCCCCACATCTTCTCCTGTCCCCCTTATCACAGCTCGGGTCAGCATGCAGCTCTGACCCTGGTTCAGGTCCATTCCAGTCTGACAGAATAGAATAATGGATTTAAATGGGATGGGGCCGCAGTGTATTACAATCCTGTTTCACATCTTCAGTGATCTGAGCTCTGCTGCTTTTCTCATCTAATATCAAATATCTAATGTACTGTAAGTGTAGGATGAAACCTTATTTCTGCTATGGATATACCCTTCAAGTATATTTCCTTTATGATACACATATAAAGCATACTTGCATGTACAGTTTTTTCATCCCAACCAAAAACTACAGGACTGTCTTTCTGGTTAGAGGTGTCCTCATCAAGTTAGTTGCTTCAGTGTTTGATGAGAATGAAAACCTACAGAACACCTACAGGCGTACAGTATATTACACACCTGACTTTAAAACTTCCATGCACAGTCTACTAATTATTCCTTTCATAATTTTCCTTCAGTGAGTGTGTGGAGCCATTTTGACCCATGCAAAGTCTTGACACTCTTTATATACAGCAGGGGCTTTAATTGTTTTTTACACTGACAGAAGGTGACTACTTGAGTGCATGTCATTTTATGAAAAAAAAAGTCAAATTAAATTTTAAAGTTGAAGAGTTTTAGTTTCAATTGTGTACAAGCTTGTGTGATTTCTTTTGTGCCCATTCCTCCTTGAATTGTCTATCTGTTTGTAGATTGTGGGTTGAGGGTAGGGATCTGGGGCTGACCTTGGGCTGGAAGGCTCCTTGCAGCGAGCTGAAGGGTCCTGAGTGTGGGAGCAGCGGGGGCATGCCTGGCATGGTGGGGGGATAGGAGGGGAAGAACTGGGGAGAAAAGAGGAGGATGGGAGACACAAAAAGACACAAAACAAAATCAAACAGAGATACGTACAGGACTCAAGCATATGCACACACAAAAACCACAGCCACAATAAATGCTGTCATGGCAACATTCAAATATGTCAAATATTTGATTTGCCAAATGCAAATAACTAATTTAAATTTGTATGACCAAGAGAAACTCACGTTTGAATGTCGGATGAATGGATTGTCCAGTTTGGGGGTGTATTTGTCGAACTGGAAGAGATAAGAGAGAAAAGACTTAGAAAACCGTCCACAAAATGATTTACTTTACCAAAATCCTTCAAGCAAAAGCCTTTTTTAAAAATACCCTCTCATTATTTTTACATCATAAAAACATAACATGTGATCAACATCTGTAACTGGTAATAAGCAGGATTTTGATCCAGAATAATAAGCCCAGGAGTAAAGCAGCTGGCTTGCACTGGTCATGGGTTTACTTAAACTGCATGGTCAGATAGGCAGTTAAATTACTAACAATACAGCCGCTTTAGCAGACTGCCAAGATGAAGGCAGCCTGCATGATTTTCCAATTGAGCATACAGAGGTTGGGCGTGGAGGCCCAGCTTTGGGAATCATACCATTTTAAAACCAGACCAGTTGTTTCTATTCACTGGAAAATTTGTAGAAATGTGAATCTAATTGCTTTTGACTGCTACAGGCTTTTTTTTTTTTTTTTTTTTTTTTTTTTAACAACAATCCCTGATGGTATAGACGGGAGGGGAGTACATGGAGACATATAGCTTGTTTTGGGTGTTAGACAACCAGACTTCAAAAGAGATTTTTAGTCAAGAAAAAAGTCCAATTCTCTGTGCATAAAATCATGGAAAGAATATATGGAACCTCTTGTGTGAGCAGTTTGTCTTTTATGACTGAAACTGAGTCGAGTAGATGACATTTGCAATGGTTAGGGGCTAATTCAGGACAGATCAGCATGAAACTGATATAACCTTGAAATGCTGAACTGATGAGAGGAAACCATTTCCGAGGCAGAGCTTATGCCTACCAGAATAATCTCAGTTAGAATTTGCCATATAAAAACCGTGTTGTTGGGTGAAAAAATGTTTCTGATCATATCCCGAACACATGGGAATCTAGTCAGTAAACTGAGAAGGAGAGCAGGGAAAGCGAGAACGGCGAATGCTGCCCCACGTATGAATGGGGGCTTTGTATGTCTGTTCACTGGCTCTCTATTTTGAAACAGGCTAATTACAAGTGACAGTAACTTATTCCTATTCCGCAAATACACAAACCATTTGCAGGTACTTTTTGCGAGTGTTTTCACAAAGCTCTCTTGGCAGGCGCAGACGTTTCGGGTTTACATAAAACAAGAAAATGAGTGGGTATGAATCAGTGTTTCTGTGTGTGCGTGTGCTGCAGCACGGGTGGTTGTGGGGGTAGCGGGTGCAGGGTTGGCTGAGCGGCTGGTGGAGAGGCAGGGATTGGGTCAGGGGCCCTTTGGTGAACCAGGGCCATTCACATCTGCACACAAAATGGCAGCAGCAGCAGTGATGGTGTTGACGGCCCTGTTTGTGGGCGATAATGGCCCCAAATCAAAGACAGATAGCCTATTGAGAGGAAACGCCGAGCCAGCTTCCGAGCTCATTAAACAGCTCCTCTGCATTTCTGAAGGCGCGGCCTGTTTAATGTCTGACACTGGGAGAGGGATTTTGGCTGCTTTATGGCCTTGTAAAAAAAAAAAGAAAAAAAGAAAAAAGAAAAAACTCTTGCCCTTGTAATTTATGGTGCCTGTCACAGTTTTATAGTAAACAGCTTTGGCTAATTAAAGCTTAATATTTCATCTTATAACAATTAAGGATATTCCTTGTCCAAAGACAAGGCTGGGGCAAGGGGGCGGGGTAGCAAAGACACTGCTGCCATTTGGCAGGCCAGCTGCTTGAGGGCGTAGAACAATAAACAAATATAGAGGCTTCATAATTTCATTAATTACAGCCATTAGCCAAGGGCTGTTACATAGTTGAAATGACATGGGGCATCTAGAGAGTAGGAGAAAATAAAAGAGAGAGAGAGACAGACAGAGAGAGAGAGAGAGAGAGAGAGAGAGAGAGAGAGAGAGAGAGAGAGGAAGCACAACTTGGCCATACGTGGTTTGCCTTTTCATGACAAAACAGTTAGACAACCACAACATCATCATTACTGCTGCCTCTTTAAGCAAGCACCAAAGAGAAGAAAAACAGCATTGTTACCGAGGAGAGGAGGGGAGGGGAGGGGAAAAGACATAAGTTAAGTAACAACACAGTTTCAATTAAAAGGAAAAAAAACAGCAGAAGACATTAATGGCAGTCTCAAATCCCATCGTAATAACACAACAAGAGATGGGGGAGTATGTACATCACGGGCTACATAATGCCAGCATTAGTGAGATGGAGAAAATCGCCTCTTTCATCTTCAAAGAGAGGACTGTGTACTGTATATAATTCCTACCATGTCAGGAATGAACAGAAGACCAGATAACGGCATGTGTGTCGGCTGAAAGACGGTCTAAACGGTCTCTACACTTATCTGAGACTGTGCCATAAATACCACAGCTTTGATTTCTAATGTACAGGATGGGGATAATCTTGGAACGGGGCCTTAATGGGACCACAGGCTCTCAATCAGAGGTCATGACATGATGGATTAGATCTATTAGACTAATGCCAAAAAGCTACAAATGGGGCCCCCGTCTGAATCGACTGTGAGAGATTGCTGTGCATTTGAAATGATGGATGAATAGTTATAACCTTTTTTCCTCTGCACTAATCTGAGAGCTGCCAGAGTTTGACCCCCCCTCCCAGACTTGATGGCAGTCAAAGCACGGAAGCAATTAGAAACATTATCAAAACAGTTTTGCAGTGATGTCATCCCACAGCCATCCACAAGTTATTTGACCGGCTTTGAATTTGTCATTGGCAAGTACGGTTGCTGTTGAGCTGTGCACGCGCGCACACACACACACACACGTGGCAAGGAGCTTGCACACAAATAGTCTGCAGAAATACACACACAGATCTGTTTGACTGCGCCTTCGTTGCTCTTTGTTAACAGGCAAATGAAAACATTCAAAACCATTTAAAACACATCCATATGCAAACAATTGAAAAGCCTGCCTTCAGGCAATTCTCCGTTTTTGATCCTCAGCAAACACTGAACAGCAAAATCTATGTCAAAGTTAAGAAGAAGATGAATAATTTAAATTAAATTTGGTAACGTTGGTGTGGTAGACATGCTATGAGTCAGATAAGGGCCTCTACGAAGTGATTCATATTGTGTATGTACAGTTTAATACATGATTCCACTGTGGATGAAGAAGTTGAAGGTCATGAAAATAAATATGTGCTTGGTCAGGTTTGACCAACCTGAGCAGCAGTTTGCACGTATCTGGATGAACTAGTGGATGTATGTGATGTGTGTAATGGAAGGTGGCAGCCAGTGGGCCGTGTCTGCCCAGCATTTGGCCTTATTACAGTGGAACTGATGTGACGCTCCCAGCTTCTCGTCAGCTCTCAGACTTTAGCAGCAGAAATCAAAGAGCAAAATTCAAACTGAATCAGTGGCATATTTTTTGAAGGGAGGGGTTCCTACAGCTACGGGACATATTTGGTGAATTTTGGGGTAAAGAAAAAAAAGGGAGGAACTGATTGAAGAGGGGAGATTGGGAGGGGTGACAGGTGGGTGGGAAGTTACTGGAACTTTTCTTTTTTACTTATCCTCACATTTCTGGCTTGGGTACGCACCATGGGGGGTGCGGTGGGCGGGGTGAGGATGGCGGCCGGGGGCAGACTGGCGGGGAAGGGCGTGAAGGTGTGCTGGTGGGTGTGTTGGTGCTGGTGCATGTGCTGGTGTTGGTGAAACTCGGCCCTCAGGAGCGACACGGGGGCCAGCGGCGAGGCGGACGGCCCCCGGCCCCGCTCTGAACTCTGAACCAGGAAGCGGTTGTTCAGCTCCTGCCTCAGGAGGTCATGCTCTGCAAGAAAGGAGAGCGAAAAAAAGAAAATAAAAAAAGAAAAAGAAAAAAGGGGTAGGGAGAGGGAAAGGGGGGGACACAAGAAAAAAAAAGGCACGGGCGCCCAGTCAGTCTTCACAACAAGGGTAGAAGAGAAGAAAGAAAATAGTCACCTGGCATTCTCTGTTTCTCCAGCTCATGCTGTGAGGGTTTTCTACGTGGGGACTCATTGGTGGTGGTAAGAGAGTTGCCTGTGACAATGTGCCAATCAGAATCCCCGAATGAGGCTGGCAATACATGATTGGTTGGTTGAATGATATCAACAGGCTGGTATCTAAAGACAAGAGAGAACCAAGAGTCATCCCAGCAGAAAACACACACACTCTTGCCCTCTATTAGAAAGTCAATGCACAACTGGCATATTTATTACATACTTTGGAGACACCCATCATCGCTGGAGACATTTCTTTCCTTCTATTGCTGAATGAAATTGTTTGTTCTGATTAAATACTTGAACATATTATTAAATTGTTAGAATTCACCTATCGTTTACAAGAGAAAACACAATTCCGGTTGTTGAGGTTGTATCAGATTGCATGACATTTTTCAACAGGGTAAATTGTTGTTTTCAATAGGCCTTTGCTCAAGACGTCTCCAGCTGTGATGACTGTCCACTTGTTAGCTGACATTTTCCAGTGATGCATCCAAGCCCTCATACTGTGACCTCATCACCCTTTCTATGCTGCTATAAATACAGACTATCTTAGAAAATGATGTATGATATTCTCCACCAGTGGAAATAAGACCTGACATTAAAGCATATGACTTGTAGGAGAAGCAGCACATTATTGCTTTTTACATTTAAATCAGATTTATTTCCACTCTGTGCTGCAAAAGGGTGATTTGCTGGTGAAGCTCTTTGGAAATTACTCAAATTATTGATTACTGGTAATTGGGTATTTGAAGCATCTGTAGCTGCTGCACTAAGTGGACGACATTACTTATATTTATGGTCAGAACATTAAAGGAACATGCTGACTTTTTAGGAAAGGGCTCTTTAACTGGCTTACTGTTTTACTACGGGCTTTAGTATCTCATGTGCGCCATACACTGCTTTTGAGATAGATGCAAAATTATCATTTAATATTCACTATGCACAGGCTGTGACTGGGATCTGGGAGGAATACTTGAATCAATATTTTCATCATAAGAAAACGCCCTTATTTACCAAAATGTGTTTTCTTTAACAACGTCAGTGTAACAGCCTCTTCTGTTCCATATTTAAAATCAGTAAAGGAGGAAATAAACCTACAGACAAGTAGCAATGAAAAAACGCCCACATGCACGTTTAGAAATATAAAGAAATGTATGCCTGGATGAGCTGTTCTGTGCAGTATCAAAGGATAAATAAGTAAAAAAAATAAATAAATGAGCACTTACCAGATCAGGAAATCATATATGAACACTTGACTAGTTTCAACACCATGTAACACATTTTATGACATTAACAGTTGAAAAATCCTCAACTAATTATTACGGTTGAAGACTAGTTCTCCAGTTAGTGAGTGTTGGTGCTGTAGCATGCATATGTAAATGTGTGACATAAAGACAGTAGAGCTGTGCAGCCAAGTCTAGTACAACTTAAGAGATAAGATACTGTATGCTGGAATATAAAATGCCTACTTCACTATACGAACTGTTAGAGAGCCTGTGTTCAGAGTATTTATGTACACTATTGCAGTATTCATAGATGCAGCTAAATGTGTTAAGAAAAAGCTTTGATAAAGAAAATGCTGGAAATTCATTCAATAAATACTTTTGCAGAACTTTGTTATTTTGTCAGAAGGTGTTGTTAAAATAACAAACCAAATCACAAAGGACCAACATGGAAAGCCAGTGTTGGAGTTTGTGTCTGCACTGGCATGCTACCATCTAACATGTGAGGTGCGCGGCTTTACCTGGGTAGGGGGTGCCGGCGGGGTGCCCAGGCACCACTAAACTGTTGGTTGGTAAGGTTGGTGGTGGAGGCAGTGTGGCTGGGGTTGCAAACATGGCCGGATGGCGATGGGCCGGGCTCCGTAGGGAGGAATAATGCGAGGTAGAGAGATTGGCTATGGACAGAGGCAAGGCGGGGGCCGAGGACGGGAGCCCGCTGAGGTGGTGGTGAGGGGATGGGGGCAAGTGTTGTTTGGGAAGAGCCACTGGACTGCTGCTGTGGCTGAAGAGTTACACAGCAAAAAAATAAAAAATAAAAAATACAATTAAAAGAATGATAATTCATACTGCAAATCAATACTTACTGTATTTTATTCATTCTTCAGTGTACAGTAAGAATGCAGTAGTTATGATGTAATTGGTGAAAACACTAAGAACTTTTACAGCTTCCATTTATTGTATACATGAGTTCACTTGCTTTGTTGCCAGCTCAGTATTAGTTCAGCGTTACTGATACGTTTGACACTTTGCTTTGACAACAGAAGAATGATTTTCCAATAAAGCTTCTTACATTGAACTAAAAAAAGAGGTGAGGGCAGAATCTGAGAAAATGAGATGAAATGGGAAACAGTTGAATGTGCTGGAGTGTTGCTCAATGAAATACAGTAAATCTGACAGCTAGTTATTGCAAGTTTGTGTGGCGGAAAATCAATATCTGCTTGAAAACTCGATATTGATATTGTGTAGAATATAAATCGCACAGTATCTTGTTGGACTACATTATATTAATTTTGAAATTGCTGCAGTTTATTTTATTGCTGTCTCCACTAGACTGGCAAGGACACATTAAAGAAAAGTAGAGGTTTCTGGCACAACACTCAACCTTCCTCCAAGGTTCATGGAGAAAGTCTAAAGTGGTGAAAACGCATCAGTCTAACAATAAAGGGCACATTAAAAGATACTGGCTACAGTGTGACACCCTGATCTTGTATAGAGGTGGATATGGTGATAACAAACTGAATACTGAATTTCTGCTCCATTATTGTTAGTCAGCAATACTGAAATCTCTAGTGGTCTTACACAGACATCACTCAGCTGGTCAAATGAGGTTGAAATGTTGCTGAATATGCCACTAATCTAACACCAGTGTGTTACAGTTACAGCATGGGTATGTTACTGTAAGTAGTGTGTGTGTTTTTATTGGCTGTTTTTCACTGCTAATTCTTGGTAGGCAGCCATTTTCAATGAAGCACAAATGCCTCCCGTCTTGTACGTCCCTGCCCCAGTTACCAAACATGCCCATGTTACAACCCACCTGATGTCGTGGAGGCTGTTGTACTGCAGTGGATGGTGCACTTGGTGGCTGATTACTGGCCGTGTGTGGTGCTGTGGAGGCGGAAGAACACGGGGCTCCTGGTGCGGGTGCGGGTGAGGAGGGTGGGGCTGGGGATGGGGTGGTGGCCTCAGCAGGGGAGGGGTAGGGACAGGGGGTGGAGGCGGCTGCTCCTTCTTGACACTGAGAGGAGGCGGGGTGGGGAGGCGTGACCTAGGAGGCTCTGGAGGGGCCGCTGCTGCAGCAGGGGCAGGGGAGCCCGTGGGCGCCGAAGCCGGGGTGGGGCTGGGCACGGGAGGCGCGAAGGGCACCTCACTGTTGCTTTGCTCCTGGCTGCGCTGGAGCCCTGATACTTTGGCTGAGCTACAAGTCTTGGACTCGGGACTCTCATTCGTTGGCACACCTGAGGAGAAAAGAAACAGTAAAATGTAAAAAGAGAATTTGTAAACCTCTATCTGAAGTTCATCTGCGTTGCCCATCTCTGATGTCAAGTCATTTCCTGGTTTGATTCAAACCACCTCATGACAGATATTAGCTGTAGAAGAGGAGCTGTTTGCTACTGTGTGTATTCAGAGGAGTATATATGATCAATGATAAGTAAAACATAGCTCCCTTTCCTCCTTTCTAATGTTCTCCACATGTCTTCTGCCCAAAGTTCCTCCTGTTTCCCTCTCCCTAGGTTCCATTAAGTGTTTAATCAGGTCATTTTCATGCTTGACTATAATCAGATGATCCAATTTCTTCTCGCGATCCAGTCAGTATGAATAAATCACAGCTAATTAAAGTTAAATGTCGGCCCCTATTCAGGGCTTTGCTGAGCACACAATCTGGCATGAAATAATTATGTTTCAATTGTGCTGTGAAGAGAGATCACGGCCCCTTATCTTGGCCTCTCTGCCACTGTGCTTTTCTGTCCTCCCTTCCTGATCTTTCAGGGGATTTGGGAAACCGCAGCAAAGCACTCTGAACTTGGCCACTTTGTCTTTACCATTCATCAGGGGTCTTTTCAACAGACAAGAAGCTTTTATGATCAGCATTCCACTCAACAACGACTTTTCATACTTAGGCTGTTGCAATTTAATCACTGTAATTATGTGCCGTTGTAGCGGGAAAATTAAAGTGGCAGAAAACGCAGCATCTCAACACCTTTCACATACAAAGAATCTCAAAGCACTTATGAATCAATGCAAAAGAAAAGATATTTGGTGATATTCTACTTCTCTCAGAGTTAAAAGAAAAGCAAAATGGGCCACAAAGAAAGTGAGTTTGAGGAGATGTTAGTGCTACAACTACAATGGAGAAAACACACACTGAACTAATCAAAGGCGCAAGTGGTGGAATTTGTTTTAAGCGCAGAAACATCACATGCATAGAAAAATCTGAGAAAGAAAACGTTCACACACGGATGGAGACGGATAGAGACAGAGGAAGAGAGAAGACAGCCTGGTGCAGATGAGGCTCTCTAGGCGGCTCTAATCTACAGCTAAGACGCAGCAGTACTTCAGTCAGAAGGCTTACTAGTGCCGCAATTAAAAAAGCTCCACGGGCACTCTCAACGGTAACAAAAAATGAGAAGAGCCGGGAGCTGCTGTCAAGCCAGTGAGAACTCGATATGCAGCCTACTAATGGAATATCCAGTCCCTATTAACAGCCTGCTTAATCTTTCAAGGATCCTAACACCCATAAAAAGACCAATAAAAAGGCAGGGCAGAGCTTTTATTTTTTTATTTGTTGAGCTCCCCCTCCCTTGCTCCTTGCAGTTTATGGGAGAACTGGGGCTGGCTAAGGTGTCACGATTTTCAAATGAATTCTGGGGTCTGGGTGTATATAGACCTCCAGATTTATAGGGGTCTGGGATTTGGATTAAACTGTCAGGCTCTCTTCCTGCAAGCGAAAGAGAAAGGGGAAGACTGAAGGCGAAGACAGAGAGACAGACACCGACAGACAAACAGAGGCGAAGAAGCAAATATCCACAGTCGAAATGTCGCCGTTGGGTGATGTTGCCGTGGCAACCTGTTCTCCCAGACACAATGTGAGGCGAGTGATACGGAATGAAGTCTCACTACGACCACTAGGAGATAGAGAGGGGCTTCTAATACTAATGCTGGGAAGCCAGGGCCACAGCGAGCACCGGGTTATCTTAATGATGATTCTAATGGGCTCTAATGGAGGCAGGGAGGTATCAGCTCAGACCAACCCATCCCTCATTAAAATCCCTCTGCAAGCTAAGACACTCTCACACAAAACACACGCGCATCCACAAATGGATGCAACAGAAAATGGACACAAAAAAAGTTTTCATTCTGGGCGCATTACACACACACACACACACACACACACACACGCACACACACGCATGCACACACACGCACAAACACAAAGAGTCGCAACGTCTTCATTTTGGTGAAGGGCAGTGCACAGCGAGAGAAATCTGGTAGAGAAAAATCTGCTAGAGAAAGGCTACATCATTCCAATAACAATAATAATTTCATGCTAGGATGTGTAGTTGTTATGTAAATATACATTCAGAGTTAATGTGTGATAGCTACTTAAACTACAGGTGCTCCAGCTTCTTTAGCAGCATACTGCAAGTCAACAGTGGCGAACAACTGATGGCAGAAAACACTTTTACTCTGAATACCCTTACCTAACAGATGACTTTTTCACCATTTTTATGAGTGCAGCAGCCATTTTGAGTGTAAACGAACGCACAGTGATAACAAGATGACAGGAATGCCTCTCTGACACATGTCACCTACCGGCTATATGTAGCAAAATCACTGCTGTTTTTCAACAAACCTTCGCCGCAAAACCACACACAACTGTCAACTGCAGTTTCAAGCGTTTCAACAAACTGACAAATTTGGCATTGTTTTGTTCTTCTTCTCCTCAGGACATGGAAGACGCTTTCCCTGCAATCACATACTGAGGAAAACAGTAGGCAAGCCACAGGCAGTCATGTGAAACAAATGCCATACGAGTGTCTGTACAAAAAATGTGCTGTCCTGAAGCCCTGCCCCACAAACCTGAGCAGATGGTGTGAGTGAGTCAGGCAGGTTGGAGGGCAGCCCGGTGGTGGGGGGTGGCACCCCCCCTCCCACCTCTCCCGTTAGCTGGGTTAGTGCACCGGGGGGACAGGGACATTCCCTAGGGGGGTGTTGGCAGGTCTGCTCACCAGATGACATCTCATCCCACTATTGATCTTTTTATAGTTGTTCCTGCGGCCCTGCTTACTCAGGAGAATTGGGCCTTGCCCTGTGCGCACGTGCCTGCGTTTGCAGTGATATGGGGTTGGGGGATGGAGGGATGGAGAGAGGAGAGAGGAGGGACACGGGGACTAAGGTAACAGACGGACAACAGGCCGCTGGGATTCACTGGTGATGACTGATGTGTCCAGCGGGGAATCTGGGGTGAACACAGTGTCGCTACACAGCTGTTCCTGCCTCCGATATCCTTCACTTGTGACCCTGTTTGTCCCAGTGGAACATCTGGAGACCTGGCACAGATATGGTCCTCTGTGGCCTTTATGCAGCCAGATGGCCCAACTCTGAATGGCTTGGACCAGTCTGGAATGGCTTGGCCCTGAGTTGGACTAGGATGGGCTAATTGTCATTATCCAGGAGACCTCAATAAAGGATAAAATTGCTCCTTGCTGTGACCAGGATATCCCTCTAAAGCACGGTCTGTTGACACATGACACATCAAGAACACAATGCAGAAGCCCCAGAGGACAGCTCTGCACACTTTCAAATGCTTTACAAATCTGTAGCCTTTAAACAGCATTCACTTTGAAGCTTTTTTAACCACTTTATTTGAAACACACACCTAGTTACCTGCTAAATGGACCCAATGACCTCATCAATGAGACGAGGGCCCTAGAGAACATTCTCATCTGGCCTCCATCTAAAACCCTCAGCAAACGAATGCTGTTCATGCAAACCAGTATGTTACATAAATTACCTGCTCAATGCTGACACCGACGCCAGTGTATACAACTGCCATGGAAATAGAACCTGTATGCAAAAAGCCTTTTCAGATTAGATACGAGCGTATGCAAATTCTCCTGGTGACGGGTGGGGGTGGGGGTGGCGGGGTGGGGGGGTGAAGAGAAGCTTAAGGCCACTGGGTGTTCTCATTTACTAGGCAAACACTGCGGTTCACTCGCCTTCATGGCTTTGCCAAAGCATAAACAGTCAGGGCACTGATAAAATAAGGACATGAGCAGATAGATATATAAATAAAACGGCATATCTGCTGAAAGACGTTGGAGGATGCAGAAGGTATGTGAGAATGCACGCTGCCTTGATCCGTCTCCTGCTGGCTCTGGTTGACAGAATATTCTGCTGCTCTTGACGGTTGAGCTCACAATGATTTGGTTTTTGTACGTCTCTAGACAAGCAATCTGCACACAGCCAAGGCTTAGCTCACGAGTGAGTGACTGTGGAAGATGGCTATAACAGATACCAGCAGAAGGCAGGAAACCGCAGTCTTGCCAATCAACACTTCATTGCCGTGAGGTATTCAGTCATAAAAAAAAAGGTGGGGTGATTTCAACAAAATGATTTGTATGAGAGGAACAGAAGGGCTGAGCAGTGTTGAATCATTGTGCTAATAATAAAATCATAGGAGAAATTTGCAATGGCTTGCTTTCCCTCACACTATTTAATCTGCCTCGAGCATCTCCAAGCTGGTAACGAGGGGAGCCAAGGCGACGTTTTTGCAAATCACTCAGAGATGTTAATGGGGGAGTGGACGAGCAGAAAGCTGGCCAAGATAGCTAAAGAGTGGGGACAGCTGGCACGTTTCAATTATTTCTCTCTGTCTCTTCGCCGCAGCTGACAAAAGGAGTGGATGGCAGCAGAATGGGGATGGGTGTTAAGCTGTAACACGTTTACAGTCAAAGCCCAGGCATAAATTGAGAACCTAATGTTCATTTCAGAGAGCTGGCAGCTCAAGCTGTGGGATGAATCAGTTTTTCCTGCGCATATCGGATCCCAATTCAAACTCCAGCCATATGGTACAGGACACATATGCCGTTCACCTCTCATGGCACATATACCAATGTTGTGGGTGGGAGGAAAATGGTGGCTGAGAGAGAGAGACAGAGGTCTAGATGTTGACTGTCCAAATCCTTTTATGTCATATACGGTCCAGTGGTGCTCCAAAACACTGTTAAACCGTCATTAACCCCTGGCTATAATGTTGTGTAGAGAAGCAAGACGCCTCCATCATCCCCCCACCCCCCTGCAGAGCTGCTTCCAGCAGAGCTCATGTGTTCTGGGACAGCCATCAGTCTCAGCTTCTTATGAACACAGCCGGGTCGTCTAAGGTCAGCGCCACTGGGCTGTCCTAAATAAAAGGGTGGACATCTTGGAACTTTCAACAGAAAAGCTCAAGTCTAAT